AGTTTGTTTTCTTTGTGCACGCTATGATTTTACTGTTAACAATTGATAGTGGAGTGTATTACAAATGTAAACTTTGTATTAATATGATGGAATTAAGCTGCGTGCGGTAACGACGTTAAATATATGAATGCATGCGGTTTATATGGAGGTGCTGGCTATCTGAATTTTTTTTACACAAAACGTAATTTTTGCGGGGTATATGCGTATGCGGGCTATATGCGGGAAAATACGGTAATAAGCGTTATTGTATGCGCCACTGTGTGTCTTGTGAAATATTGTCGCAGATAATATATACACATTGCATACCAAATACAGCAAATGCGATGCAGAAAAAATGCACGAGCCACTTTCATAGTAACCAACGTCAGGCTGCTTGACAGGTACCAAAATGGCTGTCACTTCGCTTTTCACTGCAACAATAATAGCGTGCACTTATAAGGCACGTTTCACACACGTCTCAAGGTGCCGTGCATGAAAATGAGAAGGGTAAGCAAAAATAAACAAAAATTACTGGGTGGCAAAATAAGATACCCGAAGATAAGAATAAAACGAATTCGGAAGAAAAAAAAAAACTTGTTTAAAGAGAGGGAGAGCCTCATCTCGGCACGCAGGGAGTACCACAACCTGGGGGGGCATCAGTAGAGAGCTCCACAACGGGGGGGGGGGGGTGGGGGGCACCAGGAGAGATGTACACAACTGGGGGGGGGCACAGTAGATAGTTCTACAACTGGGGGGCCCCACTGCAGTAAACACCCGATCAAGCCCAAGAACGCAGCAGCTGTGGGTTTGAATTTTATCGCAAGAAGCAATTGCTTGATATGCAGCATATGGACAGCAGGGTGTGCATACTTCTGTGAAAAAAACCTGCGCAGCGCCAGATCTGCATCGGAATGTTCGTGTCGAACCCGTCGCTAGACGCTCTTGAGAAAATATTACGCAATCCAATTTATCTGACAATGTATTTAAAATACGGGCTGAACATCCATGTTAGTTTGATACTGTCGTGATGTATGTACGTGTGTTGAACTTTTTTCCCACCGCTCTTAGCCAACTGTGCTCTCTCGTCATCGTCATTAGCCATTATCCATTCACTGCTGGACGAAGGGCTCCCTCAGCCGTGTCCGTCTCTCTCCGTATCGCCCCCTTGCACACGAGCCCATTTCATTAGCTCCGTCTCCCCGGTGAACGCACCCTTGCGCGTCTTCCCTTACTTCGGCTGCAACTCTGTCACCAGTCTCGACCACCGGCCATCGTCCATTTTTTGCTGATGTGTCCCACAAAGCCTCCGTACTTTTTTTTTTCATTAACAGCCAACACGGTAACTCGTGGCTCGCCGATGTAGGTGTTCCTCTCCGTGTCTCAGTGTAATTCTCAGGCATGAACCTCTGGCGTGCCTAATGGCTTTTCAGATGTTGCTCAATTTACTTTGTCACAGTTCACGTTTCCGATCCATAGGTCACAGCAGGTAGTGTGCACTGATTGATAACTCTCCTCTTCGGCCACATTGGCGTACGTTGATTTCCGTTATTAGATTATACTTTACACTCCGCCTTGCTCTCGTCGTCATCTTCATTTCAGATTGTTGATCCCGCTCCCGGCCATGAGTTACCGTCCTCTGCTGCATTTTCCATTTGCGTCCCTCTGATTGAAATCATCAACATTTCCACGAATAAATACCACCGTAAATATGTGCGCTGGTCGTGAGTACATGAAAATAGTGCGTAAAGGAACAGTCCTGCAATGCCTTGCTGATGCCAATGCTGGCAGAATTGGCTTCCACAAGAGAAGGAGTTTTCGAGAGCCCCTCCAGAGGGTCTGTTGGCCAACTTCTACCACGCTGGCAAAGACGTCTTCGGATCCGGTGGGAGCAACCCACACTTTACCCCACCAATCGATTAACCATGGTCGTGCCCATTTATACCGCTTTAGGTGGACATCGGCAGGCAGGGATTCAGGAAACTCGCCCCATCGTTTCAACTGCCGCTGCCAGGATATTAAATCGAACCGGCGACCTTCTGGATCGCAAGCCCGGTGCTCTCACCGTTTCAGAAAGATATGGCAGCATCTTAAATGCATGAATCAAATTGGAAATAAAATTCAGCACTTGCATCGTTACCGCTGTTTTGTAAAACTATAAATATATTCAAAGAAGGAAGGTAAGCTACCTGAAACATCAGTCTGTGGAATAGTTGCATGTCATTAGTTCGGGTCACTGATGAGTGTGGTGAAATTTTATTTTTCGTGTGCCCTACTGCCAAGGAATTAACTTAATGTTGTGCATAAGTGTCAATTGTGCTGGAAGATAAAGTGAAAATAATGTTTTAAAGGGCGTATTTTTCCCTGATTAAATTGAACCTTTTAACCAACTAGAGTTCATTAAGATGTTAAATTCATTTCTCATTTTTGAGCAAATAGGGGGTGCGGAATTTGTATTAAAATACCTCAGAAAAACCCCTTCCATTTAATTTTCAAATGAACAGACTCCATATACATAATGGATGGAGATAAAAATTCGATTTCATTCAAATGGTGATAGCACTTGTCAACACAATTTGAGGATATAAACCAGAATGGAATTTTGTAGAACATGAACCCTAGTAATTGATGCATCAACAATGCAATTTATCAGACAATTTGCTTCCATTGTGCTTGACTGAAGATGGCCTCCTATCTCGCAGAGTATGCAAACGGACAGGAAAGATTTTCATTCAAACCAGTCAAGGGTAAACTCTATGTACCATGCTGGCACGGGTGTCACTGCACGAGCAGTGGAAGGCTTTCTACGAAAGGTCACAAGCCAGTGCAACAGTGGATGAAAATGTATTCTATCTTTTAATTATTAATATTATATATTTTTTGACATGTGCCATGTGTCTCCTAGGATTAAAACTTGACGATGAAAATAATTATAATGCCTCTACATAAGCGGTTTAAATGAAGCCACACAACGCTTTGAATATTATTCCTAATAAAAATAAAATAAAAACATCGACATCAAAACATTTTGAAAAGGTCACCCGTGCTGCAACAATAATATCATCATACAGGCATGAACATAAGTTTGGATTATCGCGGTGCACAAAAGCTTCAGACTGTAAGCATGCTGTTTAGTACAGTACACAAGCGAGACTCGGGAATGGACACCGACTTAAGTTATGTACTGACTGCGGGGATTCATCTTCTTGGTTCTTTCGGTAAAGTCACGTAGAATGGAAATAATAAAATAGACTCTGTCTACTCGACAGACCTGCTCTCCACCTGAGGACGGCTGCTTGCGTTGTGGCCGAAACGTCGTGAGAATTATTTTATTATGTTTTATTTTTATTATTTTATTAGTTCCATTCTACATGACTTTACCGAAAGAACCAAGAACAAGATAAGAGCTGTGGTTATTCGCCAAGTCAAAATATGCGTGTGCAATATTTTCAGAGGCGGTGAGAGCTTGAGTAGATAGCAGGATATACCAACTACGATTGTAGCGTTCATCTTCTTGGTTCTTTCGGTAAAGTCACGTAGAAGGAAAATAATAAAATAATAAAAATAAAACATAATAAAATAATTCTCACGACGTTTCGGCCACAACGCAAGCAGCCGTCCTCAGGTGGAGAACAGGTCTGTCGAGAAGGCAGAGTCTGAATGGCACGCCCCAGGCTTGGAGCGACTATTTAAGCTGGGATGGAGGGGCGAAGAGCGCCTTGACAAAATAATTTGCATATCAAGAGGAATTTAGCATATTTATGGGAAATGCAGATATGCGATTTATACTACTTGTCAAATGCGTAGGAGGTTTGGCGAGGGGTTTAAAGTCATTATACCCATGCATTATGCAGGATTAGCAGTATCAAAGGGAGGGAGTAAGGTTAGAATTAATAAAGGGAAGGAACATTCAGTCTAAATCTTGTTTAACATTCACTGAAGCCATGCCCCCCCACCCACCCCGTCTTTCTGCTGACTTTTCTCGGCCCCCCACCCCCGTCTGAGTAACATCTAAATTGAAAACTAATTTCTCTAGAACTGCTTTTTGGGGTTTAGTTTATTGTTCTTCCCCGCATCTCCAATTAGCACGGTTGGCTACGTACGGTGCGAAATAAGTTCAACATACGTACACAGACACTAGATGGAACATTTATATTTAAAGCTTTCGTGACTGCAGGGATTCATCTTCTTGGTTCTTTCGGTAAAGTCACGTAGAATGGAAATAATAAAATAATAAAAATAAAACATAATAAAATATTATATAATTATACAAATAAAACATAATAAAATATAATATAATATTTTATTATGTTTTATTTTTATTATTTTATTATTTCCATTCTACGTGATTTTACCGAAAGAACCAAGAAGATAGATGGAACATTGTTGCGATTGTCGCAGCGTAGGAAGACATCGTCCGGCAGCTGACTGATCATGTTGAACTTGATGTATGTTGAACTTCTTTTGCACCGTACGTAACCAACCAGTGCTAATCCGAGATGCGGGGGAAGGACAACATACTGAACACAAAAAGCAGGGCCGAGAAAAGTCAGCGGAAGGAGGGGGGGGGGTGCATGGTTCAGTGAATGTTAAACAATATGTAAACGAATGTTCATCGCTAGAGAGAATGAGTAATAATGCTACAATCGTATTTGGTATATCTTGCTTTCTACGCAAGCTCTCACCCCCTCCGAAAATATTGCACACGCATATTTTGACTTTTGATTTAAAGCTTTCGGGACTGCAGGGATTCATATTCTTGGTTCTTTCGGTAAAGTCACGTAGAAGGGAAACAATACAATAATAAAATATAAAACAATAAATCGAAATGTCGTGAGAATTTTATTGTTTTATATTTTATTATGTTATTGTTTCCCTTCTACGTGACTTTACCGAAAGAACCAAGAATATATATGTTGACTTGGCGAATCATCGCAGCTCTTATCTTGTACACAACTTAAGTCGGTGGTGGCGGCGGCGGTGGTGGTGCGGGCAGTTTGTGTCACGTGTCGCGGGAGACTCACCCTTGGTTTAGTTCCCACTGCTTGCGCACGCAAAGGTGGCTGTAGACAGGGTCAGGCAGGTAGCCATCCCGGCAGCTGCAGTCTCCTGCGGTGGACAGATGGGATCAGAGTTCAGGTGGAGAAGGGGGGAAAAGGCTCGGGATGCAGCTATACGACGATCCAGCGAATAAATCGCACAGCGTGAGATCCGTGCTAATCGTGTCGTCCGTTTTGCAAAAATACCGCCATTTCGTTATATGCCGTCGGTCATTTTATCTTCGCTTCAAAACGTCCAGGCGAAATGTTTATGAAATTGCCAAACAATTATACTTCGACAGAAATAGCTACCGTCGATTGAATACGTGCTCTGTGAAATGTTATTGGGAGCAATTCATTTGCGTGGGGGCTATACAACATAATTATCTTCATCGTTCATTGAATTATCAATTATATTATCACGCGACTAACAGCATGTGCGTTATTGATTGTAAGGTTGCAAACATTAGAGGGCATGATAGTCTAATGTCAAGCGAACTGCATGCCGTTTAAAGACGTTCTAGTGAACTTTAGTTGTACCAGAAACACAGCAAAGCAGGAGGACACATACTCTTAGTTTTTTCGGTAAAGTCACGTAGGTAAAAAATGAAATAAAAATTAATAAAAATAAAATAATAAAAATCACGAAGTTTCGGAGGCAAAACAAGTCTCCGTCATCAGGTGGGACCGTCACAGCCAGATTTGCTGCATCAAGTGAGGCAGGGATTCCAAGATGCAAGTTCTTAAATACAAGTTAAGGGGGAGGAGGGGGGAGGAGCTTATCAGAATGTGGTAGTCAATGAATGGAACGTGTTGGGAGGGGGGGGGGCTAAAAGAGAGCACGATGTGTAAGTAGACGTGGACGTGTTTGTGCGCAAGCCCCTGTTGGTGCACATGCAATAAATACAATTTACAGTTGTGAGAAACTCATATCAGAATAACCAGCGATGTGGCTGAGCAGCAGAGCAAGCGGCTCACAATCAAAGTTTGCAAGTTCAAACCTTGGTTTAGGGGTCGAAAATATAAATATCTCTTGCGGTCGATAAAATTCATATCGCTTTGTGTGGGGAAGTCAATAGTCATTGTCCTATGGCGACGTTTTCCCCCAACATAAGAATGTGGAATTTCCATCACTGGCTCTGCAGGGCTGTATATGGGAAATGAACACCAATGCCTCAATGCTCATTGTGGAAGGAAAACACTTTGACTTTTGACTCTGCTGCTTGCTAAGTTAGTAAGCCTCCTTAAATATCAGCATAATCATTGTGTCGTGAAACGTGCCATCGCACCTTCGGAAAATCACAATCGCAGAAACCCGAGAAAAAATACGGTCAGTAATTTACATGTAACTTTATATGCGTGCGAAGCTTGCAGTCTGGGGGTGTAGCAAGTATTGTCAGGAGGAAGACAACCTTGGGGAATTCGACGGGTTATGTATATGTATACAATGTCAGTTATGGGCAGAGTATGCATATTTACATCCATCCATACAAAAATGTGGATGGTGCCTGGGTATAATGGTTAGCATACTGCACTTGCAATCCAGAGGTCATTGGTTCAATTCCACCTTCCAGCACGGCAGTTTATGGAACGTTGACATTTTCTTAACACCCGCCCCCCCCTCGCCTCTGGTCACGCAGCAGTATAAATGGGTTTGCGACAATTAGTCGATCGGCCGGTGACATGTGGTGGGTTAAATTGTGGGTACTCCCAGCTCTTCCAATACACCTGGTCAGTTTGGATGAATAGGCCAAAATCGTCTCAAGAAGGCAATCGATATTTAGCGTATGCCAGAGAAGTGCACAAGAGTGCATGTTTGGACCAGGCCTCGACTGGGTATTGCAGGCCATGTGTTCTATATTCATGGAAGACGACGGCAGACATGGCTGTGGCCGTTAGATAGCACCAAGAGGTAGAATGTTTAACACCCAAAACTGACAATCATTTGACCACCCTCATATCCATTGTAAACTGCCTAATCGCACTGCCACACCTCAGGTCAACTTGTTGTTCAACTACCACTTGAAACCGGTGTCTAGGTCAGCTGAAGGTCACGCACCACGGACGCAACATGACACAAGAACGTCAGCGAGGTGGCTTGACCTTCAATTGTGATTATAAATGTCTTCACTTTGACTGTTAAAATGACTGTGAAATCGGTGGGGCCACAACTATTCACGTTTGGCATTGATAATTATTGACTTTCCATTAAACGACTCGAGCGTGACCTCGGTTAAGTGAAATGCATCTTGCAGATGAATGTGGAACAGATTTGCAAGAGAGTTAATGTTATCACGAGCCGTGGCCAATCCTATTTAAACGGGGACTACAGGTTCATAAACTGTTTGAAAAAGAAACCAACTTCTGGTCGTTCTACTAAAAATGACATTCAGCCCTCAAGCGGACATTTTTTTGAAACTTCATTATTAAATCTGAATATTTTCAATTGCACTTTTTTTTTCTTTCAACGAACCAAATGTATTATTCTGCCTCTTCCCCTGCAGACCACAAGTCATCTCCCTGCTCACACAAAACACAACACCCGACTCTTGGAGCCCTAAGTATAAGGTCAAAAAAGAATATGGTCATTGCTGGAATATGAAATGAGTTTCCACATGTAATATGCAGAAAGGCCAGAGAAAATGTGTATATAGTCGGATTTAGATGTCTAATTTTTGGCTTTCTCCTACACAGATATGCTTTTGTATTTGGTCAGATCGAAAGGTAAAGGTGCAGCCCTGCAATTGCTCGCCTCTTTATTTTAACTTTTTGATTCCAGTCTGTGATCAATAACTGCCATGAGCATGCATTCTGTGATGTGTTCTACAGTTGTCTCCCTGCAACTGATATCTTTACGTACGGAAACACAAGAGTGAATCTGTGCTGGTATTGAATAGACCAAGATGACGGCTGCAGCCCTGCAATTGCCTTCTAATGCCACTGCTGGCAGAAAGTATTCCACGTGAGAGAGAAAGAGTGCCCCTTTAGAGGCCGGATGTCTTAGGTGGAAGAGGTGGGTGTGCCCACACTTTGCCTCCACACTATTAGCTGTGTTTATATCCCATCTATACTGCTGGCTGGACAGAGTCTGGTGGCATTTAAGAACCAGCGACATCCGTATTACAAGTTCAGTAATAATAACTGTCGGCCACCGAAGTTTGCTTTAGTCACAGCCGTCCATTTTTAAAATTCTCCGGATTCGCTGTAAATGTTTGAGGCTCCAACAGCCAAACTAAAGGCAATGTGTCGATTAGCTTAAAGGCAGTAAGTGTGTCTTGAGAAACGACACAAGCCATCGAGATGTGCTCCTTCGTTTTTAAAAAATCCTTTATATTAAGTTCACTTGCTTGCTTGCTTGCGCGCTTACGACCGTGCAAATCTTTCGGTCGTTTTTTAACCCACTTCCCGTGATCCAATCGAGCTGAAATTTTGCACACAGACTCGTTGTGCGTGACAATTTATTTTCGTGAATTTTTTTTTCCAAAATTTCCCACTTTCTAGGAAATTGTTTTTTTCATATTTTATTTAAAATACCAATGTGATAAAAATGAAACTCTTACTCAAGAAAAACAGAAATGAATAATAAAATAAAACCGATGCCACGCACATAAAGGATTTATAGTGAAAAACTTTGTGTTTACGGGTTAATTTTTAGCATTTTGGAGGGACAATCGTTTACAAGACAGGCTGTAAAAACCAAAGCAAGGTGTTACAGTTGTTGGGAATTCGACGGCGACAAAAAAATAATCCGCCAACGCACACACATTCGGCAATCACCTCCTCTTCGCGCATCGGCAACGCCGCGGTGCGCTCCAAAAGAGCCGTAACGTCGCATTCACAGTGACGCACGAATAAATAAAATGACGACGCCGCGATTGGCAAGTCACCAACGCGCCAGGCGTGCCGGGGTAATGACATTGCTGCCACCGCAAAAAGGCCACTCGTGAAGCACCCATCAAATTGAGCACACGTGTTTTACCGCAATAAGTCCTTCGTGAGGACTGAGCCCAATCGGCTATGACGGGTTTTGTTGGGTTTTGTTTGTCGTTGGGAGTTCGTAAAGGGCCAGAGCATCGGCACACGACCCACGAGGTGCTGTGAAGGGTCTCCTCCGGGCACTGCGAGCAGAGATCATGATCGCCGTGCGCTGATTGCGCACGCTCAGCGAAAGCGCTGCACCGTTGTTTTTTTGTCGTTGTACGTTTGTTGTTAACCCTTCGCCTGACCGCCGCTGACGAAGGCGATTCGCCCCTCTCCACCCGGCGGTGCGGTGATCTGTCGCAAACTCAGGGTCACAATTCGATTCGAGTAACCGACTTCTCCCCATCTTGAAAAATGTTTTTGCACTGCAGGCGAATGGTTGTCGCCTCTAGCAGCGTGACGCAACAAATTTGCGGGTTTAAGAATAATGATGAACCAACGAACGGATGAATTGTCACATCCGTAGTGTAGGTACCCCAACCCTGCCCCCTCCCCAATGGTAAACTGATATTGAAGGCACCCAAGCCACATTCGAAGCCCCTGCGTCTCGTCCCTTGGCGCTGCGCACGCTCAAACACACCGCCACGCCCGTTATTAGGCCATTAAAAGCAATTGTGCTCGTGGACGCGTAATGTTACAGTGGGCAATCCAGGAGCTCCACAAAAAAAACAGAACAAATGAATGGCTAATGTAAATCCACAACAGCTTGCTTAGTCTATGATCCAGCCGCAATAGTTTTTGTTTTGTTTTCATACACGTACAAATATGATTATTACAATCACGTAACAACTGCTAATTCCGCGCAAGTTGCCAACGCACTGGGTCGTGGTGCGTGGCCCACCGCCACGCGAAAGAGCGGCGGGCGATTCGGAACGCTGTTTGGAACGATGCAACCACACTGACTTCACCAGCCGATCGTGTAATAAACAAGTTTGAAGACTCGTGCACACGCGTGGATCCTGCAACGCTCTCGAGCACGCGTTGTACCCTCCGAAGCGTTTAACACTCTGCCGTTGCCGACGACGTACGTGTAGGACGTGCGCGTCACCGGCGCTACGCCTCTCAACGTCAAATTGACTACGAGCCGCC